TGTAGGGAAGGAAGTCTTAGAAGGTTTTCTTGGAAGAGTTTGGTTTACACAAGCCCCGACATGTTCCCTTGATGCATAGCTTGATGAGGAGATTTGGTGAGATAAGAAACATATGGGAGGGTACTGTGTTGGGGAGGGGCAATAAAAGGACAACAAATACTGTGGTGCAGAGGAGGAAATATATTATTGAAAAGAAACTAGGGGAAGCAGAGATGAACATGCCACTAGCTTAAAGACTTAATCTTCATGTGATACAGCATCTGACCTGCTCAGCTCTCCAGGCATGCTGGCAAGCCTGACTCACAACACATGGATGTCTCTGTGGGGCTTAGCTCGGCTCAGCACTGGTGTTGCCAAGCCCAGTGCCTGGCCTGCCCACATATGGATGCTCTGTGCTCCTCGTGGCTAGTGACTACCAGGTGCTCCAGCTGGCCCTGGCGTGCTTGCTGCATCCCTGGCACTGTGCTGCACTGAGGCAACTGAGCTGCTTTTGGACCTGGGGACAGCATAAACATGGACACATCTGACTTCATAGACTTTGTTGGGTCTGATGCTGATCTACCACACTGCCACAACAAACTCTCTCCTGTTGGTGTAGTCGGCCCACGAGCGTATGCTGACTAATGGCAGGTTAGTGTTTTCAGGGAAGGAAGAAAGCTGTGCTGCAAGCTGAGTTTGGGCTGAGAGATATCCCTTGGCTCCCTGATTTGATCCATCACTGTGACAATTTCTTTGGAGCTTTAGAGGGTGGTTAAGATCGTCTTCCAGCACTGTTCTTTCCACTGTGCTATGGCATGCTGAGCCCAAACCAACCTGTTGAATTTGGGCCCCATCTTAACTCTTGGAAATTCAGTTCTGAGTTTCAGGTTTACTCTTTGGACCAAACTTTAACTTCATGAATTTCTCTACAGTTTTTTAGGTACCAGAGAATTGAGATTGGAGTGCCTGCAGAACTGCAGGTCTGTTGCTTTCCTGCTTGTTTCTGACTCATACCTTCTCCTGGGCCCCTCTCTGCTGCTGTTTTCCTTCTTGTTCTTTCCCTGTGCAAGTTCACTTCTGCAGAACTTAACTCTTTGTTTTATCCCGAGGCCTCACTATGGCAAAAATGTTGACTGTTTTAGTGAAAGTTTTAGCTAACCAGAGGGACCAGATACAGAAGTGAGTTACCCTGGCTTAATAAGCTTCCAGACATCAGCTGAACTGTGGTAATTAAGTGCACTCCTAGCCTGTGGCAAACACAGGACAAAATCCATGAACGCAGACTTTTGATGATAAACATTTTCTGCTAATGCAGTTTATTTTCTGCCTCTTGTGTTAAGAGCGCACTCGCAGCTAGGATGAATCAGACAGTGTATAACGTTAAGCCCCAGTAATTCACTTTTGTCTCCGAGCTGTAAACTGGTAAGACGCTGCTGCTGATAAAGATGGAAAGCCAGAGCCCCAAAGCTGCATGCAATGTTTGTACACCCTCCCAGAGCTCTGCTTATGGCACCACCAGCGCACAGAGCATATTGCTTGACTGAGGTCTAGAACTGTGGCTGTCGGTTATCGTTAGCATCTGGCTGCATGTGCACTGCGAAATAGGGATACCTACAGGGCAGTTGTCTGCTCGCTGGGATTTGGAATCTTGTAGCCCTCTGATTTGGCAGCTTCTGTGGTGCTTAGCAGCATATGGCTGCTCCATGCGGCACAGGAGCCTTGGTGAAAAAAATAGAATCATAGAATGGTTTAGGTTGGAAGGGACCTTAAAGATCATCTAGTTCCAACCCCCCCGCCATGGGCAGGGACACTTTGTGGTGGTGTGAACTTGACTGCTCCTAAAACAGTTCCTGATAATTGAATGCAAAGCTCAGCTTAGCCTATCTTTGAAGGAGGTTCGACAATTGTATTTGGCAGTTTGATCCCTTTTCTCTTTTAAATTCAGTCTTAACATATTATTGAGTGCAGTATTTCACCTATGTCTTCCCTTGAGTCCTTCCTCCAGACGGAACCTGCCCAGGTGTTTCTCCCAAGCTTTAGTCATTTGCGTTGCTCTCCAACTACGCTCTCCTTGGTTTTTGTCTCTTACAGAGAGCACATTGCCCAGCAGAGCGAAATATTTAGCTCTCAGCTTTGTGGCATTCATGTACCAATGCACTCAGAGTATAAAACACAGTGGAACTGGAAATAGTTTATAACAGCCATTACTTTTGTAACTCTTTAAACTATTTCACACTTCATTTGGAAGGCTCCCCAGTGGTAGATGGCTGAAGCAGGCTTGAGGAAAAACTGAAGGGCACAGCTCTGCAAAAAACATCGTTGAATGGCAGTTCTTGTGTGTTTATTGAATTTTAGAAAGAAACTGTCTTATACAACCCAAAAAGAAAGTAGAACAAAGGTTTCTGTGGTCTGTACCCTGAAAGCATTGGAAACATGTCCTTGAGCAGTGCTAGTTAGATGAGCAGAGTTACAGGCTTAAGAATTTAAGATTGCAGACATGGTGTTCCCTGTGTATCATTCAGATCATTCAGACTGTAATCTATCTTTGCAGATTTTTCTATGTCTGTATTGCATGCTTCTCCTGACTGGAATGTTTTTATATCTGTCTATTTAAATATATTTTTATATAGGTATTTGTCTTCCCACTACTATAGTATTTGATGTCTATCTGTTTGAAAAATCATATGCTTGGTCTGTGTAATTAGTCAATACATTCCCATTTTCTGTAGAGAAAATAAGCCAAGTCTCATCAAGATTAATATGATGTATAAAGGTAGAAGACTTTTTTTTTTCTCTATTTTGAAGAGCTATAACTTGGGTAAGATGCTCTGCCCCCCCCTGCCCATGACTTCTGTATATTTATTTATAAAACAACCCTACTTCAAAGATAGGCTTAAGTCATATAACAATAAGAATCATTATTAGGGAACCTGAAAAGTTAAATTCTTTATCATCTTTTCTGGTTGTGGATTTTGAAGCGCTTTGTATATTGGTATAAAGTACAAAAAGTCTGCACATCACCGATAGCTTCAAATCTTCACATTTCCTTAATTGCTACCCAGGTAAGTAGGATAATTTGCTCCAGACTTATGGCTACTGTGGCAACTCAGAAACTGACTGGAATATTAAACTGACAGGCTGTAGCGGGTTTTATAGGCTTTACTGGATCAGAGGTTTTGTCTGAACAAAGAAATGACATGCAATATCCTGCAAACTGGCTAAAACACAAGGTGAAAGCTGGTGGTGGGTTTTTGCGTTAGCTTTCTTTCCTTCAAAAAAAAAAAAAATCTCTATAAAATGAGGGATGCTAGGTGTGGATTTTAATTTTAGCATTAGAACTGGTAGGGCAGATGGAGTCTCAGGCGACAGCTCATCTGGCTCCTCTATTGCTGTAGTCTTGAAAAGCAAAGACCAGTTCATGCCCTGACTTTTACCCACCCCACAAGAAATTTACCACGGGCTCTCTCTTCCTTCCCCCTGATTCCAGTACCCAAAGCTACACTCTTACAGGTCTATCCTTCCACAGACTAAAGTGAACATTATAAAATCAGATAAACTCACTAATGCACCTTTTTTTTAAAAAAAAAAAAACTTGGACTAAACTAAAGCATGTAGTATAAGTACTAGGTAAAAGACAACCGAAAGTTGGTATTCTGTTTCCCTTTCTGTCCCCTACTGGAGACGTGAAATCCTCATTTTATTTTAACTTTGCCTTTATTTCAATAACATGGAAGCCATTGGCCTTTAAGTAAGCACTCTTTTAACCACAATGACTCTTACACTGTTTTTTTGGAAAACAGAGCTGAGCTTTCCCTGGTGGTAAGTGTAGCGTCACCTCTACACCTTTCATAAAGTGATGGATCTTTGCTGTATTTCATGTGCTGTCTTTCTGAGCTCCTGGATAATGACCACGGTCAGATGTCAGAAGGATGGCCCACACCTGCCCTCCTGGCTTCAAAGTCTTCCAGCCAAAAAGCAAAAGCAGAGAAAGGAAATGATTCACAGCATAAGGGCTGGATTTGATACTGTGATTTCGCATACATGTGCAGACACACAGAGGTCCCTGCTTTCTTTTTAATTTGCTTGCTAATATAAAAAAAAACCCACACGCCCAAACAAAAACTGGAGTCATCAAAGTACATCTGATAATATAAAAACTCTTCTGCCCTCTACTGCTGTGAAGTAGTGGGATGGCTGAGATGCATGGATGTTGTTTTGGGGGAAAAAATACGTAGTCTTGCAACTTATAATTCCAGCCATTTTTTTCACTGACAAAGGGAGGGGAGTGTAAAAGGTACTTAATAATTATTGTGTATGAACTTGAGAGAAACGTGATCTTAATACCTGAAACAGCCAAGAAAAACTACTAAAAAAAATTCTTGAAACTGATAAACTGTACAGCAGCTTGTCAAAGGCAGTTTGGGCTAAATTGTAAATGGTACTACTCAGTCAAATAAAAAATCTGAAAAAACATCAGTGATGGGGAATGTTATGCCATAAGCAAGATGGGTTGTCAACTCTTCTTTTAAGTAACCGTTGCAGTTGTGCTGTGGATGCCAGAGGGGTGTTGCTGCTCTCTTAGCTCTGGCCTTTGAGGGTCTGGGATTCGATGGAGAGGTGAAAAACGGTCTCACGGGCACCAGAGTAAGCTGGCAGGAAGGGAAGGGATCATATTAAATGGCACCATTAAAGCTCACAGCTCTATCTTTACTAGTTTAATCTCATAAATTAATCCACATCGGCCTAGAATAAGTCTTCAAAGAGAAAGAGGTAATTGGATATAAATACTTTCCTTCCCAAACCCTGAATTACAGTGATACGGCAGCAGGCAGCTTTTTGCACTTTGATCTCTTTGCATGATTTTCATTCCCCTTTTTAGCCTTAGTCTTGAGCCTTATCCTCTCATTACTTTTCCACAGCCAACTGTGCTCTCTCTGCTTCCTAGCTGGTCCTCTGGCCATCCCCTGTGGCCCTTTCCTCTTTTAAGAGGCTCAGCCTTCACCCTTTGTTATTCTTTGTTTTCAGTCCTTGGGCCTTTGCTGCGATGAAGTCAGATGAAATATTTGTGCTCATGCGCGCTGATAAAACCCTGCTGAATTCTGCAGAGAACTGTGAGCTTACTCTGATACGTGAAGCCAACTGCTGCTTAGTGCATTTCTGGTGAACCTGCACCCCTGTGGCTTAGCTTCTGCTGAGTGGGAGCAGTGTAAACTCATACCCAGACAATACACCATGTAGATAAACCCTTTGTTTTCTCCAAGTGGAACTGACATGTTTTCATCACTCTTTTGATCACCTCAAGTCTCTAATACACTCTGAACCCTGTCCTGCTTCTTTGCTGTCACGTTAGATTGATAGCTCCTTGAGACAGCTACTGCTTTTTGAATTAAGTCTAGCAAAACAGGACCTTTGTCCTGATTCAGTGAGCCGGACCTTAGGCATGACAGCAAGATAAATATGCCCAAGGAATTCCCTGTGCCTGACAAACACAAGGCTGACAAGGAAACTGAGGCTGGGGCTGAGAGCAAGTCACCTGGGTCCGTCATGAACAGTATGATTTTGCACGTTCCTTGGACAACTTTTGGGCAGATTGCCTAAATCTACAAGGTGCTTGGTGCCCTCAAAGTATGGGGTGGGACTGACAGCCCCAGTGCTCTTCCTACGTCTTCCTCTATGCTTAAGCAAGCTGTGGAAGCAGTTGTCTACCACATGGAACTGTGTGATTCGAGGAAGTAATTTAGTTTGAAATGGATGAGATTTGAGGTCAGCAGTCTAGAGTGAGACTTAAATAAGAAAAGTGAAGATTAAAATATAAGTGTCTGAAAATATTATCCCTGATATTTGCAGCCAATTCCGAGTATAACAAGTATTTCTAGAGTATTTACGAAAATTCCTGAAGAGCTGAAGAAAAGTAAATACTGGTTTTGATATGAAGTTGTTTGCTACAACAGCAGAAAACTGATCTTGCTTAATAATGAAACCCTTTCCAGTCCTGTTTTTTTGTAGACAGGAAAAATAAGAGTGTGTTCTCTTTCATTTTAGCGTCGGCCCTTATGTCTTGATAACGCCAAATGAAACCAGAAGAAACCAATTGCAGCAAAGTAAGTTGAGTTGTCTAATACGGTAATACATTATTTCTACTTGAATAAGTTTAGGGGTTTGTGTGCTTTATCGGCCTTGCAACTTTTATCCTCATTTTTACAGTGCTTTTATATGTGCAGCTGTGACAGTAAAGTCAGTGCTATGAGCTTTCTTCATCATCGTGTAGGCTTTTCTTAAGATTAACTTCCCATCTGGCTAAACTTCATGCAGTGTAAGTCTTGTTCCGGGAAAGGTTTTCGGTAATTTGAGTGCTGGAGCTATTCTAGCTGGCTTCTACAAGACTCAGCTGGAATTAGCTCTATCCCACTTTTACAGGATTGAATTCAGATTGGCGAACCCAACTTTCAAAGCCCTCTGGGTTACAGGGAGGAAGAAGAAAACTGTAAGTAAGAAATATTTTTGAAAGTCCTGTCACGTGGAGACTAAAGCAACTAGAACCGCTGTTGGTTCTTCAGTCTCCATTTAAGGATTGTAGGTGGATCTTTTCATGAAGATCGTGCAGCCTAGAAGGCCCACCATATCCTGGGCTGCATCAGAAGAAGTGGGGCCAGCAGGTCAAGGGAGGTGATTCTGCCCCTCTACTCCACTCTCGTGAGACCCCACCTGGAGTACTGCGTCCAGCTCTGGAGTCCCCAACATAAGGACATGGACCTGCTGGAGTGTGTCCAGAGGAGAGCCACGAGGATGATCCGAGGGCTGGAACACCTCTCCTATGGCGAGGACAGGCTGAGAGCGTTGGGGTTGTTCAGCCTGGAGAAGAGAAGGTTCCGGGGAGACCTTATAGCGGCCTTCCAGTACCTAAAGGGGGCCTCCAGGAGAGCTGGGGAAGCACTTTTTACAAGGGCTTGTAGTGATAAGATGAGGGGGAATGGCTTTAAACTGGAAGGGGGTAGATTTAGATTAGATATGAGGAAGAAATTTTTCACTTTAAGGGTGGTGAAGCACTGGAACAGGTTGCCCAGGGAAGTTGTTGAGGCCCCATCCCTGGAGGTGTTCAAGGCCAGGCTGCATGGGGCTTTGAGCAACCTGGTCTAGTGGGAGGTGTCCCTGCCCATGGCAGGGGGGTTGGGACTTGATGATCTTCAAGGTCCCTTCCATCCTAAACCATTGTATGAGTCTATGAAGATGGGAGAGGTCCTTTTAGATGGAAAATATCTTCACTTTTGCTTGGCTTCAACTCTTTCTGGCAAAAGCAGCCAAGCAGGAACACCCTGAACCTTTACCAGAAATATTAGATGTGTTAAAAAGCTTTCATTGCCAAAGGTTACAACAAAAGAGCCAAGAAATCAATTCTGTATGCAGAGGTGACCAAGCACGGCAGTCCTGCACTCCTTGATGTTTATTTGTACAAGATATGAAAGCTGAAGGAGTGTCAGTCAGCACTCCTCATGTTTTGAGCCCTCAAGGGAACAGTGCAATAAAAACATTTCCTCTCAAACATTGTGAATTTGGCTGAAATGCTTCATCAGCAGTATGGTGTAAGGTTGGGTTAACTTTGGTGACAAGAAAGAAAATGGACTTCTCCTGAACCAAACCATGATCTTCTGGAAGAAGGAATAAAAGCAGATCATCGTTGAGCTGACTCTGACAGCAAAGGTGCTGCTCTGATAAAGGTCTGCATTCACTTTGTGCCACCAGCATGCAAGGTCTGAAGCATGCCAAGTACTTCTGCCTTGGATACAGGCTGAAATAGGGCCTCACCAAATCCAGTCTCTACCTAAGTGCTTGTTTTAAAGGTGAAATAACAAGCTGGTGTCTGTCTTGGGCCTCTTAAGAGGCTTGCCCAGGAACTGGCTTTATCTTGTTAGAGGAGAGCTGGTCTTAGCGTCTGAAAGCCATAGCCTGCCATTACAAAATACGGTTCGTGTTGGTTTTAGTGAGAGGGAATTAAGCTCTTAAGGCAACTGCAGTACTACTCTAAAACACAGCCCCTCTTTCCATAGGCTTTGTGCGCCTTGCTATTGAAAGGAATTGGGTTTTTTTCCAGTGTCAGTTGATTTGAGAGAGCACTTTAATCAACCAGCCATCCGAGAGCATATGGCTGTATTGACTGGACTTGCACTAACTACTTTGTGAACTTGCCACCCATCTCACATGTGGATATCTATGTTGAAGTGTCTTAATTTGAAGCTGACTCATGCATTCCCCTGGTTTTACTTAGGGAGCGTGAGGTTGGGAGGGAAAATTACTTATTCTTCATTTCCCTGCGGAGGACCGTTAACACCACAAGCATTTCCCTCCATGCAGCAATAACATCTTGATTGTAACAACGTCTGCTTTACCTGCAGGAGTAAATACTGTGGCATTTACTTACAGGTTCCCAGGGGTCAAAAAGCAGTCTATTAGTAGTTCTTTAGCTGTCTTTTGGTTTGTTTTTGGGGTTGAGTTCCAGGGTTTGCTTACCATACAGCGTCAAGTTAGGCAAAATGTTTGCCTTGTTAGCTGATCATTGCAGTGACTGTGTAACCTCCTGGGGGTTGTCTTCACCTCTTGATAACAAGTTTGTCTCTTCCTGCATGGGTCTTCAGGGTTGCATACAATTAATGATACCGTCTGCTTCGTAGTACTGCATCTAACGTGCACATATTTGTTTCTTTTTGTACCTGCTCAGTCGCTAAGAAAGAGCTAAATGATCTGGAGCGGTGGAAGGAAGAACACAGGCCAGGGCCAATTAAGTTGGTTCCACAGAGACTGGGTAAGACATGTAAATTAGCCTGTTTTCCAGGACGTAAGACATTTTTCACTTTTTCTCACATGCTACTTATTTAAGAGATTCGGTGTCAACAAGGGTTAACATGAGCCTTCTGTGCTCTTTGGTCATAGCAATGAAGATGTTTCTGAAACAAAACCGCATAGGTTGTCACTCAAGAAATCTGTTGGGATGAGTGTGGAAAATCTACACTAACATTTGGGAAAAAGAGGTGGATTATCTCTCCTGCTGGTGACATTGTCTGTGGTTGATGTCTCTGAGGGGGTGCACACTTGGCATTAGCGTGTAGATGGACAGCATGGGTTGGAGACCCTTCAGTTACCCATAAAAAAACTCCTCTGTGTTAGGGGCCAGTACAGGTGCTTTCCTGATGGCTGGCTCCTGAAGAGGCAGAAGCGATCCCTGCAGCTTCAAGCATTTGCAGGCTAAATGTGCATGAGGCTCTGTATTACCAGTTTTATAAATATAACAACAGAGATGGGTAAATGAAGAAGAGGATAAAAAGCTACAGGAGCTTAAGTCACCCTGAACTGCACGGATGTGTTTAATAAGATAACCAACTTTTTTCCTAGACAGTTGAGAGAAACCGTAGTTTCACTCTTCAATTGTAATCACTATAAAGCATTTAATTTAGAGCTATTTGGAAGTTAGTTCAGAAAAAAAATTTAAAAAATGGAAAAAAAAATAAAAAAAACAACCCATTTTCAAATCTATACAGAGAACAGGACTGCAGGTTGTGCTGAAGCAAAAGGAAGGTTATTAGAAGTGCTTTTCAAGTACCGGTCTTCAGACCTATCTTGTTTTAGTATCTTTCTTTAACGTCTTTGGCACAAAAGTAGGAGAGAGCTGATGAAACTTGCTGACAAGACAAGACTTGAAAGCATCATCTGTATAGAACACGATGAGGACACCGTGCAGTAAAAATGGGATGACCTTGAGGAACTGCACTAATAGAAATGGGACAAAATTCATTCTGACAAAGTGAATGATTATAATGATGCCTTTATTAGTTTTGTAAATCTAGAGGTTTTCTTCCTTCTCTTGGCTGTCATAAGAGAATTTGGGGTGCACAGTGCATGCTATTGTTTTCCTTGACCTGGGAACTAAGTTCTTTCTTTGCTATGCTATACAAGGTAATTTTGGGGTGGTGCACTGTGTATAAAAACAGATACCAGGTGGGAGCCAGAGGAATTTGAACTGACTCCAACCCAGATTTGGTTTTGTGGTCAAGGTGATACTGGTCCCACATGTTTGTTTTGAACCTGCCTTTGCAAGTCTGTGTAATGCCCTCTATTCCCATCATCGTGTGCAGTCGTGTGGCCAGACATGCTCTTTGTGAGTTCATACATACTGGCTGCTTCTTGCCTGTGAGCAGTTCCTGGAAGACATGCCCCTGTCCCGAGAGGACCACAAAGCTGTTTGCTGAAGAAAGTGAAATCTGAAAACTGAGATTTCATGTGTGGTGTCTATGCAGAATGTGTGCAGGCTGGCTGCGTGACTGGGGACATGGTGGCAAACCTGCAGTGACTGAGTGTGGGGACTCTTAACTTCTTCTGGTCCCACTGCATTTGAAAACTTTCCTGGGAAAGAAACAAATTAAAGGGGGAGAGGGGGGAGGCAAGAAAAAGCTGAAAGAATTCAAGGAGGTTATATGAGCTCTTCAGTCACTGTCTAGCTGCCACTTAGAAAGACCCCTGGAGACTGAGACACATGCACTATGTTCAGTGCCTCTGAAAAGAGGTAAGGTGCAAAGATTATTAGATCTTATCATTCCCACAGGAACAAATTTGGAACAGAAGAGAGCTCAAGGAAGGAGAAAAAAAATATAAGTGGCATCTCTAATTTCACAACTGTAGGTACTCATTAAGGTAAAAAAGAAAAAAGTATCCTATGTTATTTTCTCTGAGTGATTTTAAGAGACTACACATCTAGTCCAAATCACCAGAGAATTCTTAAAGCTGAGGTTTCCTAACACTCATGCTTTCCATAGGGTAATAAGTATTCTGGATTTCAACTCTGTAATAGTTGACTGGCAAACTTTCAGGTACCATAGAAGGATGAGAGCAATGAAGGATGCAAGTTCCACCCTCCTTCATAAACAATGAGTGTAGCAACAAATCATAAATGTAATGGCCTCTCTTTTGATTATATTATATAAAGCCAGTCACGACATACTCTTGACTTCAGTGAAATATTCAACAAATTACATCCAAGTGAACTTGAATGAATTAAACCTGGCTGAAAGGCTATAGTCAATGGCTAATAATGATCAGTAAAATACATGTTTAGGGATGATGTCCAGCAATACATGCAGAAAAGTATAGTGAACGCAAGAGTGTTAAATGTTGCCAATAAAAAGCTAGAGAGAAAGAAAGATCAAGCGTCCAGAAGGTTTCAGAACTTGTTTAGTAGCACTTTTATTTCCTAGGTTTGGGAGGAGCCACCCTACGATGACAGCTGTATGCTTATTGCTACTGCAGACCTGTTGCTTGTGTACTGTATGGCCAGTCCTTCTTGAGAGTTTAATCACATGGAGTTATTTGTGTGCAGAGAAACGTTTCCATGCTTAGGGGATTGATCTCCCATTCACTGAACCTCACAAAGGCACCTAAAGAATAGTTACCTTCCATTAGTAAGCGGAGAAAACTACTTTCAGTGAAGTGTGATCCCTCCTGCAAGATCTAGTATAGCTGTCTTACATTTCAGGCACCTCAGGTAGCACAGATCAGTCCTGCTGTTTCTGTAGAATTTAACCATCACATAGTGGGGAACTTCTTAGAAAATCAGTGGGTGAAAATACAGCCCTCATCCTCAAAATGAGGTGGAGGCTGCTGCTGTTTTTCCAACAGCCAAAGGAATGAATTATAGAAAATACTTTTGAAAATAGTAGAGCAGGATGATGCAATCAAAACCACTCCCTCCATCCCTTAAGACCTATTATCACTTTCTCTGTGTGGTGGGCTTTTTGGCTTTTTTGTTTGTTTTTGTGTTGTGGGTTTTGTTGTTGTTGTTCTGGTTTGGGTTTTGTATTTTTTTTTTTTTTTAATTGAAGGCTGAACATTATGGCCAGAGCTTTAGATGTTCTCAAAAGAGAGCCTGTGCCTTTGGAAAGGGCACCTTCTGCTACCTGGATATGAGTAAGAGGTCTGTGGGAAAAGGCTTTGATTTCCATTTCGGAAAGGGGTTTCTTCCTTGAGCCCCAAGACATACTTAGAAGATATTCAAATAATAGCATCCCATTAGAGCTGGCAGAGACTGCAAGGTCCTAAATTTGACAAAAGAGAAACTTTCTGACAAAATTTCTGACTCTGTGTGACAAACCAAGCAAAGGTGGGGATAGCTGGATCTGAAAATGAAGACTCATCTGCAAAGCGTGACTGATTTTCTGAAAATGGAATAGTTCCTCAGTAAACTGATCATATACTGTAGGACATATTTGCTGGCAGAGTGGATGATACAGTGGATGCTCTGTATATAACAAGCTACTGCATTTGACGGATGGATAAAATGATCAAAAAGGTCTCCTGTCTGTTTTCTTTAATGTCAGACAGCTACTGTAATTATGAAAAATTTCCTGTATATGCATACATCCAATCTGTTATATTGCTCTGTTCTGAAATGACTGGCATTTGAACTTAAAATGCTCATGCAAAATGCAATTTATACTTTTTTTTATTTTAAGGTGGAAAGGAATCAGAGGCTCAAGCAAGGCAAAAACAGCAAATGATGCTCATGCAATCTAAATACCAACAAAAGGTCAGGAAGAATAAATTTGTTTGTTTATTTTAAGAACTAAAAAAAAAAAAGCTTTTCGTGAAGTGTTTCATATGGCTATAAAATAAGCTCACAGCTGCTTGACAACAGAAAGTCATGAAACCTGAAGGAAGCAGCAGAAAACTAGAAACAAATGTTCTGCACCAAAGAAAATGAGAAATCTGGCTATAAATATGTACCAACCCATATCACAGATCATATCTAAAATGATAACCAGTACAGTTGTAAAGCGACTTATATGCCTCGCTCTATCTTCCGGCATGTACATTTTGACTAATTGATCAATGTACCACCCCATTCAATGCTTGTGCAGAAATGTTGTTCCTGTTATAAAAGGTATAAATGTTTGTAAGTTATCAATCAGTCGTGTGATTCCTTGCATGGATGCCCATTTATCAGTCCTAGATTTCTCAGCCTTCATAAAGCCAATATTGGAGTAGCTGGTGCACAGCCTGCTTTATTCAGTGCCCCATTTTAAGAAAAAAAATCTGGAAACTTTCCCCAAGCACACTTTAGGTTCGAAAGATGTGCAGTACAGGAATCAAGTCAAGTTACCTTATGTGTGCTTTGTATATGTACATATGTAAAATAATTCTCTGCGTTTATGTCATACAGCACAAGAGGGAAGAATATGTAAAAGCAAAAAAGGCAGCTGAAGAAGCTGAAATCCAGAAAAAGAAAGCAATTCAGAGAGAAAAGGTAAGCACGGTTATTGAAGAGTTGGAGCCATATAACAAAGTTTGTGTCTTGATGCTTGATTTTGCTGAACTACATGGAACAGTCTAATGAAATTAAATGGTAGTTCCAAATTGCATCAAGGAGTTAGGAAAACCAGTCCCCCTTCTGTTTGTAGCTGACTGAAGGATGCGTGACCTGGTGTTCTTTGGGAATTAAGTGTTCCTTTGGCTCTTCAGAAACTCCAGTCTTTCAGTTGCATCCATCCTGAAGAGTTAGCAGAAAGGGAGAACAGTGGGGTCAGGATTAATGTTGTGTATACAGGTTATGTAGTTCACTTTGGCATGAGCTTTCTCTGCAAGATTGGATTGTGGCAGATGGCACAAAGACCTTACAGAAATCCATAATTGCCTGCTGTACACATGGGAAGAATACAAGAAAATCTAGCCTGTCATGGTGGAAAAGGCTTCCAAATCATGAACAGGTCAGTGAAAATGCAGATGCCACTCGTGCTTTTCTGGGGAGGCACACCCAGATGCATTGCTAGTATGTAAGATCACTTTTCCTTCTAGTGTTGGCCAGGTATTGACACTAACGATAGCTCACTTTCACATCTTCCGTTTTATTTTGCATTTGCTCGTTTTATCTAGTAATTCTCACAGCGCATCTTCTCATCCTGTGTGCTGCATAAACCTTTGTAAAAGTTCATTCATGTCTCCGTGGTGGAAACCATGTAACACTTGGTTGAGAATGTAAGGTGAAATTTAAATGAAAAAATAAAAGAGGGGCAGCATGACACTGATGTGCACAGTAGTAATGAGAGAAAGGGAGATTTCAGGTTTGCAAGTTTTGTCTGCACAACAGTAAAAATGATCTTCTGCACAGAAGCTGAATGTTGAGAGTTAATTAAAAAATCATCACTACTGGATGGTGTACAAGGACATGCGTAAAGAAAAATAGCCTTACTTGCCTCTAGGTAAGGGTTAGTCTGTTCCAAGTCTTTCAGTGGTTAGCATTAGTTTTTGGGGATAAACACAGTAGCTCACAATGGTGATAGATATTATCATGTGAAAAGGTCATTAACAGTTACCAATTCATGTATGACTCCAGAAGCAGCAATGATAGCGATGGTAAGAAGGGGATTAATTATATTTTATTCACCTGTTAAATATATATTGTTTGCCCATGGGCACTGGACAAGAAAAATGTTGCAAGACTGCTATATTTTATAGTTACACCTAGAAAATATATTGATGTATCAGTTTTGTTTTCATTCTCTTTAATTTCCTTACCTTTACTCCCACAGATTATAAAATCTTTATAGGTGTTGTAGATAGTAAAACTGTAACTATCAGTTTCTTCTAAAGGAGAATACAACACAATGGCAAACATCTTTGCAAACAGACTGTTTAATTTGAATAAACATATACCCACAAAGCAAACAAACAAAACAGAGGAGCATGAAAGGGAACTCTTAATTTGAATTTGTTTATTTGGGTTGTCTTCCACAATAGTGATTGAGCTGATGAAGATTTCTGCTTGGGAGATGTTTATATATTAAAAATTCAACTCTGTGTTTAAGAGAAGCATGCTGGAAAGCCACTAAAAAGTGTCAATTTGACTATGTCACCCTGCCTGCAGATGAAAGGCTCCCGAGAGCTAAGAATGACAGGAAAGGGATCCCAAAGAACTGGTACTGTACAACCAATGCTGGGCCCTGGTTACCCCAGGAGAAGAACTTTTTTTTTTTTAAAGTGGTAGATTTGTAGACAACCGCACCTGCAGGGCATTAACTGACAGCATATCTTTCTGCAAATTCACAGGCCGCCTTTTCTTGCTGGCCAGTCCTTCTTTTGCTCAAGGTTATTATTCATTCAATAAAACCCAAATTGTCTGACAGTCTGAAAGGAGATAATGGGTAGCCAGCTTTATCAGCAGGAGCCCTGAAACCTTCACAGCCGGAGAGCTACTTTGCCATCAAACGTGTATGTTGAAGCCCTACAGACTGGTGCGCGATGACTAGAATGGGTGCTGGTACTCAGCTCAGTTCTTCCTTGATTGTGAGGATAATGGGCTGTAAGCCAGTGCTGCTTATGAGCATAGGGTCTGTTTGCATTACTGCTTTAATGCTGGTTTTGCAGAGAAAAGCAGTATCAAAAGCAGAACCCAAATGTGGAAGGTCTGCCTCACCGTCTGTTCGAGTCCACCTGCCTGTCTCTGTCATACTTTAATTAACCATGAGGTCAGGTACTGGAATACCAACGCTCTTGCCATCTACTGTCTCTCTCTCCAGCTCCCAGGGAGAAGAATAGTGGGTGTTTCCACCTCATTCTGTGTGCCACAGGACCAGTTGGTGTGAACTGGTACTTGGGTCTCCATGTGTAGCAGTGAACGGGATTTGGGATCCTGTGTGCTCCACGTTAGGCAGTTTGTCCTGGGACTGCTTTGATTTGTTCATGGAGTAACACACGTCTGCATGAGTTTGGCTGTTCTTCTAAGCTAGTGATCTCTGAGTGCCCACTGAAGTGATTCTGGAGAGGCTTTATAATATTACCAGGGGAGTCCCTATTTCTGTATTTGTCTCTAGTGCTGAGATGTGTGTCTGCTCTGCAGAAAGTTTGGGAGTACCTGGGAAGTAGCATTATTATTATTATTATTTGCTTATTAGGAGCAAGCGTCTGCAGTTGGGTATCTTTTGTGCAGCCCTTCACATCACAGATTTTGACCAGACCAAACTATAACTCCCTTTGTGTCTTTTGGGTAAAAAAGGGCTGTCAAAGTTCCCAAGCAGATAAACAAGTGTCTGATATTTGGCTTCTTGGGTTTTTTTTCAGCTTTCTGCATTTGTACTGTACACAAAATAGCATAACTTCAACGGGATATTTCTGTTTCTTGTTATTCAACCTCTGTTCCTGTTACCCTGCCTTTAGCCTTTCCTTGTATATTGTAAATCTTGATTGAATATTAAAACATTAAAAAGATTTTAAGTGAAAAGGCTTAGTGTAATTCTACTGTGTGAAACTTTCTTTTGCTTTTACATTACATAGTAACAGTCCTGCCATCTTTAGAAACTGTCCTATTTAGAATAAGCTGTAATTTCATTTTATTCTTTATCAAATCATGTGCTCTTTAATTTGACTGTGTTAATCAGCATGAATGGCCCTTTTCGGGAATTTGTTAAAACCAGGCACTTTACAGACCTTCTGCTAATGCTTTTCAACATGTTTACCTTCAATATCACAGCTGTTCCACTCTTGGCTTTGTTTTTGAAGACCGTGCCAAATATGGAGTGCTTTGGCAATGTCTATTGATAGATTGTCATTAGTTAGAGAATGTCCAGTCCCATTGCCTGTCATTTGTAAGTGTCCTAAGCAGGGGTCCCAGGGTGAACTTCCAGAGTAGCAAATAGTCACACCAGCCACAAATAAATAATTTCAATATGCTGGAGTTTTCTTCAGGCACTATTCTGGTGGTAGAATAGCTGTAGGATATTTCCTTTTTTTTTTATCTAGTGGGAGGCAGGGCTGATGTTGAAGGATTGTATTTATCAAAGTTAATATTACTGTGTTGTTCTAGCTAGGAGCTAGACGACAGCAACTCCAGTGAGCTTTGGATTTGAACTTTCGGGAGCCTTGCAATATGAGGGTGGATCCCATGTCAAATCCTTTTTCAGAGGTGAAGGCATCAGCTTGCAGTGTTGGGCAGTGGTGGGGAAAAGCCTGGGAGCTATTACTGGTGTCTTGAGGGTATCAACATCCCCTTTGACAATAATAGATGCCATCAGATTTTCTTCCTCTTTCCTTTCTTTCCCTGTAAATTGTTGAGTTGCACAGATGGGTGGGAGTCTCTTGCTTAAAAAATTATCTGTCTCTGGGTAGATGGATAAAGGAGCAAACAAGATACCCCTTGTACACTACCAAAATTTACCTATACCGTGGGGTGATATTCCTTACTTCAATTTGATTATTTATTTTTTTAATTGCATCAGTACTTCATACATTCTACCACTGTCTCAGTATGTCAGATGACTGAGCAACAGGACATCTTATTCAGAGATTCATCTTCCTCCTTTTGTTTATTTTCTGATTGCCTTTTTCTGAATAAGAACTTTAAGTCATTTGCCTTCCAACAGTTTATATCGCTACACAACATAGTGGCTCTTTTCCTATCTGCAGACATCTGACAGGATTTTTTTTCTTAATCCAATACATGCCAAGGAGGAATTTGCACTTGTTTTGCAAATCTCTTCCAGACAGTCGTTCTTTATCCAATTAAAAAATACCTACCCTGAAATCACTGAAGGCAAAGTAATTGAGTAACTGCCAGTAGAACTGTAATTTTTCTGAAATGTTATTGATTGTGGGACAGGAAGAAAATGATGGGGTGGAGGGGTTACACTGCTGTTCTTAACACCACTTTCCCCCTTACACACACACACGCACCCCCACACCCACCCACCCTGTTCTACCTGGCCTTGCACAATACCTCCACCCAGGTAGGCTGTCCTCTCCCTGATTTGGAGCTCTGACCAAACAGGCTGTTCCCACCTACAGCTCCCTTATCATCACCGCTAAGTATTGTCTGAAATTTCCAGGGCACTTCGTTTAGAGCAATGTCTGGTTGCTGGGTTACCAAACGATTACTTTTTTTTCTATTTGAGGGTGGGCGATGAGCAGTGTGACAGTCCGAGGTTGCAGTTTGTTCAACATGCAAGTGGGTGTGATCCTTGGGCGGGTGCTCTTATTGGGGTACCCCCTCCACACCAACTGCAGTGTGGGAGCTCGTGCTTGAAATATAGCAGGGCTGAAATCCTGGTTTGGCACTTCTGATTTGTGCTTTTAATACACTGAACTGCCATTTGACTGCCCTTCCCACTGGACCTACCTACAGCCTGCGTGTCAAAAAAGAAATGTGGCTGGCCTCCTTTTGACTGGAATTTAGCTTGAGCTACATATTGCTGTTGCAGCAAGTTCTCTAGTTTCTGCTTTATTTTAACGTTTTAGTGTACTTGATTTTGGGGTGTGGGGCAGCTTAGATGACCCTTCCGTTGGAAATTCCATGCAATTTTCTATTAAAGAACGTAATCACTTGTGTGGTATCCAGATTTCCAGAGAAGTTTTGTGTGTCAAGGTTTTGGCTGACTCTTGCACTGGTATCTGAGGCAGAATAACTCTGGTTAAGTACAAATGTCTCCCACTTTCATCTGTTCAACTGGACAGCACCTGATGCTCCTGAAGGCCATAGGTCTATGTGCAGAGCTACATGTACCACTGCACTTCCACTGCTACAAGAGTATCATCTGCTTTGGTGCAGTGGTTCACATCTTCTGCTTCTTACTAGGACCAATCTTGCATCAGTTATACCAAGAGATGGCCCCAACAGTGCTGTGGCATGAGAACTATGAAGGCTCTCGAGGCCCTTTGTGAGGACAGATGGGTCTGCCAGGAGCGTAGGGTGGTTTTCTATTTCAGACTGGTCTCTTGACTAGGAAGTGTTTGGTCATGTCTGAATACTTTTAGATTTGAGATTACGTCACTTCTGTATCCAATTGCTGCTATAGTTCTCTTAAAAACTAGGTTATTGAAATACTTGAATTGAAGTAATCAATGTTTGGTTTCTGGCTTACTGGAAATCCCAAGTATGTTTTCTTGTTTTTAATGCTGTAGGCAGAGAGACTTGAAGTTAAAAAAAGGCAGCAAGAAATGCAAAGAAGAGAGATGTTCCATGAGGATCAATATTAGTAAGTAAAATTTGAAACTTACTACCTAAAATTCCTCATCTGCTTGTCCTTCTGTTTTGGGGTTTGGTTTGTGGATTTCTTGTTGTTTTTTGGGGTTGGGTTTTTTTGTTTGTTTGTTTGCTTCTGTCTGATTTGGTGCTTGGGAAAGGTTTGGCTTCTGTTTTTTCACTTTTTGACTTGAAACTTTTGATTTCAGGGCTAGAGGCAATGGGCACAAACTGAAACACAGGGGGTTCCTCCTGAACATCAGGAAACACTTTTTTACTGTGAGGGTGACTGAGCACAGGCACAGGCTGCCCAGGGAGGTTGTGGGGTCTCCATCCGTGGAGATATTCAGAAGTTCTGGGCTCTAAGTGGCCCTGCCCAGCAGGGGTTTGTACAAGATGACCTCCAGGGTGTCCCTTCCCACCTCAATCACTCTGTGATTCTGTGAAATATTCTAAGCCTCCTCCGTACCTTTTTCTGTGAGAAATTTGGTTCAGTAGATTTCTCTTAGCTTCTCAAAACATACACTTTGAAATGAAAACTGTGAATTTTAGGAGGAGTTTGTGCTTTCTTTCTCTAATGGAATCAGTACGTGATCATTCACTCTAAGACTAATTATTGAAACAGGATCTAAATTACGTCTCCACCCATTTATTTTAGTGACTAGTAAAGAAATTTAACCCACATGGAAATAATGAGGACTTCCTATATTTAGCAGTCTTACAGCTTAAATGTAGAGACCTGCTGTGAAGACCTGTTTCCCAAGAATACCTCCTTGATGTCAGATTTAGATACGGCTTAACTCCTGACATAATTAAGTTCATTGGCAGTGAAGTTCCTGCCTTGCAAGTTCATTCTACCCTATTTATTTATTTTTAACTGATCCAAACCAATTCTATCACATAATTAGCACACGATGCTGTTTAGTCACCTTTACCTTTTTTATCTTTGGCACCTGAAATTACTCACTTTTGTTCTTAGCATGATTAATTGCTCTTTCCTCCTCTGTGACCTTTAAAGGAGTCACTTTTGTACTATGCTAGTAGCTCCAGTTCCTTCAGCATTTGCTCAGACTCTGTTCTGGAATGTATAGACATTTAGTGCTTTCTCACTGATCTCAGCCTTTCTTGTCTTTTTCCTTTTATTTCTTCCCTTTTGGCTTTAGGTACAGCTCTTTCCTTAATTACATTGCCAACATTTGTCTCTAGATATTGGTATTTTGCTTGCTGTCTTCTGTTTGTCCTGATGTGGGTTTCCTACACTTCCCCCCCCCGTTTGCTTCCTCAGGATTTCTGGATTTCTGAAGACCCTGCACAGATTTATATCTCTGTCTGTCTGTTTCTGACAGACTACACACCTTCATGCTCTTTGAACTTAACTCAACAACAACCTCATTGTATCTTTTCGGTGCAGGGTTCTCAGTTATGGGACTTGCTTTTTCCTGAGGGAATCGTCAGGGTTCTTATCTTCCCATTTAATCTAATTTTTTGTCTTAAGGCTTATTCAGTAATAAAGATAGACATATCTCTTCCTTTCCCTCACCTTCCCCGTCTGTACCTTTTTTTTACTTAGGGTGAAATGAATTCTGCTGATGAGAGCTTTTTCCATTAAAAACAAGCTTGGTTCTGTCAAAAGCAGGCCCAAACCCTCTGAAACACCTTCATGTCGGCAGTCAGTTAGTCTCCAGGTGGTGTGGGATCTCAGTCTGCCTGCACACAGAGAAGGAGACTGACAGGCAGCTGTTCTGCCCACCAATTTAGGAAACCAAACTGACTGATGCAACTGAAGGTAAAGATGGACTGTCAAGCTCCATTGCTTGAGATTAGGTTCAACTATCAGAAGATTATTTGTACATACTATGTATTGAACATACACTAGGAGATACCGTAGATACTGCACCTGGAGGAAGTGAGCTGAAACCCCACCTACAGTGAAGGCAATTTTGGTTAAGCAAAAACCTCCCATGCTGTAGAGAGTGACACTAGTGCCTTCCCTGGTCTGAAGGAATCCTCTGGTAGGCAGAGGAAGAGGAGTCTTTACCACTGGATGTTATTGGGTTTGCATTGCTAAGATACATTGGCATTACGGAGGATAAAATCCAGGAGTAATAGAAAGATGCTGTGCGACATCTCAGATCTTGTAAAGTAACTGCATTGAAGTACTGCCAGTTATTAGAGACATGTTTGCATGGACGTGCTTGGTATTTAGACGTGCTTTTGCCTACTATGCAAAAAAGAGTGACATTACTTCCATCATCTAAGACCCCGTGTCTGGAGGTGAAGAGAACAAATATGAGGTTGTGCTCCTTTCCTTGCTTTCTCTGCTGGAGTATTTTGATCTCCTCCTCCGCTTACTAGGAGAGGGGAGAAGGAAGGTCATGCGCTGCATATAAAGCAATGACCTCTGCAAAGTGATGGCCTGTGGCGCTGTATCAAAAGATAAGCTGCCTTGTTAGTCTGTCCTCTGTAAGCGTCTGTAGCTGCCACATCACAATTTTCCTGGGGAGATCAATGCCTGCCAGCAGCCTCATTAGCTGTGAAACCTTTTAAAATTGATCACCACCTCTAGTGTATCAGCCTCCATGGGGTACAGCCCAATCAGTACCTCTCCCATATGAAGTGCCGCTTCTATTTGGTGAGGAAAGGCACTTAAGATTCTTATGTCATTAACATACTCTGACAATAAAGTATGATGCTGCCCAGAAGTTTGTTGCTCTGATTAAATTCCTCTCATGATTAAAAACAAGAACTTCTCACTGATATCCCTTTTCCAAGGGTGTAATGTGAAGTAAGTGAATGCCAAGAGGAAAAATTGTCTGCAACCTTGTCCGCTGTCTGCAGAATATAGTTATTTCTTATCTCTTGAAAGCCTTGTTAGCTTCCTTGTGTACAACCGGACCTTGAAAGTCAACTGTATCTTTTATCATAGTTGCCTGAGTATGTGTTTGTGTCTTGTGAGAGTGAGGTCTAGACACACGTGCAGAGTGCTGTGGAAAAGTCTGCAAGCTTCTCTCTTTTGGAATCAGCAGCTTCTCTTTTGGGATCAGCAGCTCCTTTACCCAGGTGGACTCAAGCTCTATTAGGTGACTAAAATGGGCAAAACTCACAAGGTATCTCCTGAAGTAGCTGCGTATAAAAAGCCTGAAGAACACACAGGAGCAGACTTTGGGCTGGGGAAGTTGCTGCATGGCACGATTGCTATATTTTGTACTAACAGAGGAGAAGCACTTCAGGGATTTATTTGTGATAGTGTCACTGTGGTTCTGCCTCTGCAGATGCCAGATCTAGAAACTAAGGAGTACATGTGCACTTTTCTACTGGAAACTACTTACACATGAAATGGAGTCCTTCCTTTTGAGTAATGATGTTTTGGATGCATTTTACATTGATGGCCTGTGGTAGAGTCTGTGTTTCTGCCAGAGCATATTAAAAAATGTGCTAGTGTAGTCCCTATTTTGCAATTGCTAATCCTTGTGAGGAAAGGACTGAGTGTCTCATCTTTCCAAATGGGAACGAAGAAGAGGTTAGATGGCTGGCCCAGGACTTTTCAGGACATCCCTCTTTAGTTAGGAGACAAAAATTGTCATTTAAACAGTTACGAGGCATGGCTACCTCATAACTTGCTTTTCTCTGTGGCTTGCTGTGCAGGCTGTATGAATCTGTGCCTGAACTGTAGCGTATCTCACCATATGGTTTTAGCCCAGCTCTCTAGGAAGGTGCTTTGGATTCGACTTCCCAGAAACTGTAGTGCTGGATGTGGTCTGCTGCTCTTCTAATAGCCGTCTACCTATTTATGTAATGGGAAAAGCAGTCTAGCACATAGGGTTTCTTTTTAATAGGGCATGATGGCTGTTGTATCGTTTCATCCTTCCCTTTGTTACATATTCGTGCCTCTGTTTTTGTGGAGGTTGTACTCCTGTAAAAATTCCTGGCACTGCTGCACTCGGGTACATGTGTGCACTCAATATATTCTGCTCAAAATTTGGAGCTGGAAATTCAGCCAGAGTGCCTCTAAGTGCATATTCCAAATACAATGCAAGAGGTTCACCAAACCAAGCTCATATACACTTGCCTGCCAAAGCAGTTCTCTCAAAAGTCATAAAATGCAAGAAAATAAAACCTGAATCGAAACAGATTTTTTTTATTTATTTATCTATTTTTACAGGATAAATACTAGTGTCCTTGCCAGTTTTCAGTCCCCTATGATGTGTGGTTCAAACAGCAGGCTGGTAACAAATTTTCCCCACAGAAGTGCAAGTGTAAACCTGACCAGACTTTTAATATAGGTTGCTAGAGAGAATGAAAGAGGGCTCGCACAAAAAGGGTTTGCAGCCTTGAGAATCTTTTGTTTGCTTCTTTTCAACACAATGGTCTTCGTTTTGTTCATTTGCTCCTGATTATTTTAAGTGTTGTCAATTATTTAGCTAACAGGCAGAAAACTAGGCTTTTATAGACATCCAAAGGGACTCTCTTGAGTGTAATAATGAAGGCAGTTTATTGAACGCCTGTGAGGTTGCTTTCTAATTGTATGCATTAATCTGCCCATGCAAGCTGGCTGAAAATATAGAAGCAGATTGCACATGCAGATGGAGCACACAGAATGGAGGACCTATGCAATAGACTTATACAAAACTGCGTTTTCCTTAAAACTGGATTTATGCTTATTACTTCAGATAATAAATGAAACTCGATGTCTAAAATAACTTCCAAGACTATTGGATGAGTTGGTGGGAGGAAAGAATAGCCTAGCTGTATTATTTCATGCAGTCAAGAAAACAAAAAAAGCAAGTGGGTTGACAGGAAAGATTAGTTTTGAGTGTGGGTGGGAAGTGATGAAAATAATTCTGCTGAGAAAGTTGCCTTTTTTTTTAAAAAAAACCCCCTATTTTTAAACTTCCTTGAAGCCTTATACCTAAAATGAACTAGTGCCACATTTTTTGTTCTTATCCCCAAGAACAGGAACACATGCTCGCGAAGTTGCAGACAAGAAAGCCTACCAGCCAAAGATAGCACAGT